TTCTTATACATGGGCACGGCCGCCTTTCGCTTATTACGTTCGAGCTTTTGATTAGGGAGCAATATCTAAACCAAAGATTATTAAAAGATGAAACATGGCTACGTAATATTATCGTGAAATAACTTTTTTACTAGATCGATTGATTATATATTCAACCATTTACACTTATAAAAATAATAATTTAGTTTCTAATTATCTTTTACAATGTACTTTATTTCTTTTTTAATTGATTATATCAATTTTGATACCTAATGGGAATAGTACAATTTCGTAATTGATTCATGTTACTTGATAATTTAATTTAAAGGAGATTGTCAAGATACCAAAATTACAAATCCCTTGAAAGAAGTTCCTTCTTCAAATTTAGAGTGATGATTTGAAACTTGATTTAAAGGGTACACGAAGAATCTTGTTCGAAGTAAGGTTCAATTTGAAGCAATATTTATGTCGCAGAGTTCATAAAATCAGCAGAGACTGAAATTTGGTAGACATAACCTGAAATAAAATTTTTATTGTTAATAACTTAAAAGGACCCAATTATTTTCAATACCGAATGATAAGTAAGTAAAGAAAATTAACTTCATGGGATATTCCGAAAGTGTTCATCATAGCAATATTAGGAAATTTGAAAAACAAAATTTTGAATCTATCATTTTAATGTGAAGAAAAAAAAACTAAATTTGGCGAATATGTAGTACACGAATTCGTGTAACGCAAATAAAAAGTGCAAAATATTATAAAAATAAACTCCACCTAATTTCATTAAATCATAATTAAAAATTGTGACCAACATAAATATTAACCACTACTGTAAGAGAGTATAGCAAATTCAAAACCATGAAAATGTTTCGTTGATAATCTTATTATAATTAATGCAAGTATGTCGTGGCTAAATAAGTTAATTTCATATTAAGTAAACATAAATTAAGAAACACGTTTTATCTAAAATAGAATCCAGTTGTGACTATTATTACTCTTGCCATTGCGCTGTCGAAGTAACATATGTTGCCATAATGCTATTTTGATGTTGTCAAAAGTATGTATCAAGTTTTAGCTTTGTTCGAGGCATAATTTTTGCCGTAAAGATAATAATTTACGTGATGATTCAAGCTTTATTTCATACAGATTTAATAAATGTTCGATCACATGATGTGACAAGTGTTTGCACCCAACATGATAGTATACTGTGGGATCATTTGAATATTGATAAAAAAATTCGTGATCATAATCATAATCTTTGTTGACAACAGAATTTTCTTGAATGATCTTACAAGTTACGTAGTAGAAATTCATGTCTGGTGAATGATGATAAAAATTTAACTCAAAAGCGTTCATCTCGTGATATGTTGATTT